TCTTCTGAACTGGCTCTTGATGACTGAGTAATACAGAGGTCTTTCATGGAAAGGCTCACCATAAGTTGAAGCCAACCTGACACCTATCAACAAATAGGCAGACCTGCTTTGCTAATTTGCTTTGTGAGATACATCAGTATAAAACACAATAATGGGGATTCTGAGAGTCATAGAACACTGAATTACAGTAGTTTTCTCATTACCTCCTAAGACACCAAGAAAGTCAGGCAATCTTTTCTGGGAAAAGAAGTGCCACGTGTTAGGGAAAATGTCAACCTCTTCAGCCACATCGGAGCTGTGGTTAAAGAAGTTATGGCAGTGGTCTTTCCAATGTAGTGCAATTGATTTTTTTATCCTTTAGAAATATGGTTCCATCTGACAAATGTAGAGGGTGTATGCCATGATTTGCTGGGCCACCATTGTGGCTTTGAAAAATCCCCATGCATCATGGACATCTGCAAAGTGTTAGTTTCTTGAGCTTTTTATTCATTTATTTCCAGTATTTCTGCCCTGTCCTTCTCAACCCTGGGAGGGGGACCTAGGATGGCTTACATTTGGCAACAATTCAATGCCATTATATATAACATAACAATATAACAACAATTAAAACAATAAATAGAACATTAATTAAAACCATAAAACAGTATTAACAATATTAGCAGCCATATCATCATTCCAGTCGCATTCCAAATCCATATCCAAAGTGCTATTTATGCCAGTTGTCCAAAAGCCTGGTCCCAGAACCATGATTTTAATTTCTTTCTAAAAGACATGAGGGATGAAGCCGATCTTACCTCTTTGGGGAGGGAGTTCCACAGGTGGGGGGGGGCACAACCAAGAAGGCCCTGTCTCTATTCCCCAACAGATGTATTTGTGACGCTGGCAGGAGCAATAGCAGAGCCTCCCCAGATGATCTTAAACAGTGAGGTGGGATGTAGGGGTGGATGTGTTCGGACAAGTAAGCTGGGAACCATATAGGGCTTTATAGGTCAAAACCAGCAATTTGAATTGAGTTCAGAAGTGGACCGGCAGCTAGTGGAGCTGACACAAGAGGGTGGTATGTTCCCTGTATGTTGCTCCAGATAGTAACCTGACTGTGGCCCATTGGACTAGTTGGAGTTTCTGAACCAGCTTCAAAGGCAGCCCCATGTAGAGTGTGTTGCAGTAATCTGTTCGGGGTGCAACAAGATCATGGACCACCATAGCCAGATCAGACTTCCCAAGGCATGGGGGCAGCTGGTGCACAAGCTTTAACTGTGCAAAAGCTCGCCGAGCCACCGTCAAGACTTGGGGTTCCAGGCTCAACGATGAATCCAGGATCACTCCCAAGCTGCAAACCTGTGTCTTCAGGGAGAGTGTAACCCCATCCAACACAGGCTGTAACCCTGTTCGGCCTTTCGACTGACTAGGAGGACCTCTGTCTTGTCTGGATTCACCTCAATTTGTTAGCTCTCATCCAGTTCGACACAGCGGCCAAGCACCGGTTCAAGGTCTGAACAGCCTCCTTAATAATAGGTGGAAATGCGTGAGAGATTTGGATGTCATCTATGTACAGATGTCCACAAGATGCTAATGAGTTCTCCGGTCCTGCTTTGGACCTCAGCTTTTGTACTATTGTAGATCTTTTTCTTAGCAGCACAGTCAGTGTCTCTGACATATTTGGAAGGCTTTCCTTTTCTTATTGATTAACTAGCTGTGCCCTGCCACGCGTTGCTGTGGCCTATAGTAAAACTTATCAAAGTTGAGGTAGATATTTGGACTATTATGAAAGAGAGGTACCTACCTATTCCTTCCCCCTTTTCCTCCCCCTTTCTCTCTTTCTTCCTTCTCTACCTCTTTCTTTCTTTCCTTCTTTCACTACTTGGTTTCATCCTTCTCTCTTTCCTTCATTCCCTCCCCTTTCTTCCTTTGCCTTTCTTCCCTCCCTGTTTGCTTCCTTCTTTCACTTTTTATTTCCTTTTATTTCACCACCATCATAACAATAACAATAATGCAATGCATTGCCTCTGGGACCTGACACCTCTCCCATTCCCCAGGGTCTCATAGGAATAATAGCATAATAATAATAATAGAAATAACAACCTTTACCCGCCACGTGTTGCTGTGGCCAACCTTCTCTCTTTCTCTCCTTTCCCTCCTTCCTTCCCTCCCATCTTTCCTTCTCCTCTTCCTTCTCTATCTCTTTTCTTCCTTCCCCCTTTTTCTTTCTCTTCTGGTCTCTTTTCTTCCTTCTCTCTTTCCTTCTTTCCTTCCCTCCCTCTTTCTCTACATCTTCCCCCTTCCTTCACTCCCTCTTTCCTTCCTTCATTCCCTTTTTTCTTTCCTTCTCTCCTTCCTTCCTTCCCCTTTTTCTTTCCCTCCCTCTGTCTCTCATTTCTTCCTTCTCTACCTCTTTCCTTCCTTCCCCCTTTTTCTTTCTCTTCTGGTCTCTTTTCTTCCTTCTCTCTTTCCTTCTTTCCTTCCTCCCTCTTTCTCTACATCTTCCCCCTTCCTTCACTCCCTCTTTCCTTCCTTCATTCCCTTTTTTCTTTTCTCCTTCCTTCCTTCCCCCTTTTTCTTTCTCTTCTGGTCTCTTTTCTTCCTTCTCTCTTTCCTTCTTTCCTTCCCTCCCTCTTTCTCTACATCTTCCCCCTTCCTTCACTCCCTCTTTCCTTCCTTCATTCCCTTTTTTCTTTCCTTCTCTCCTTCCTTCCTTCCCCCTTTTTCTTTCCCTCCCTCTGTCTCTCATTTCTTCCTTCTCTACCTCTTTCCTTCCTTCCCCCTTTTTCTTTCTCTTCTGCTGTGTCTCTTTCCTTTCCTTCCATCTTTCCTTTTCTTCTTCCTTCTTTCTCTAACTTTCCTTCCTTCCCCCTTTTTCTTTACCTCCCTTTCTCTTTCTTCCTTCTTCCTTCCTTCCTGTCTTTCCTGGATTTTGACAGGGCGGGAAGGGGCCAGGGGGGTGGGGTTTGGAGGTGGCGTGAAGTAAAAGGAGGTAAGATTGGGGCAGGGGAGTGATGGAGCGTGGGGTTGTGTGTGTGTGCAGCGGCGGGGGGAGTGATGGAGCGTGGGGTTGCATGTGTGTGTGCTGCGGCGGGGGAGTGGGGTTGTGTGTGTGTGTGTGCAGCGGCGGGGGGAGTGATGGAGCATGGGGTGGCTTCGAACTCATGACCTTTCAGTCAGTAGTGATCTTCATGCAGCTGACACCCAGCCAATTGCACCACAATATTGGTGCATAGTGAACAGGCATGTGCAAGGGAGAGCATGTGAGGCTGGAGGGAAGGCCTTTCAAGGCGGGAGTGGGGGGAAGTCCCCAGGCGAGAGTGGCCCAGCAGCACCAGGAGGAGGAGCAGCAGCAGAAGCAGCATAGGTGATTTGTAACACCACTTATTCGAAAAAAGTCAGTCTTTCCTTTTTGTTTTTTATTAATACTCACATTAGAAAATGCATAAGGATGTGAGTGAACTATATATCCCAAAATTGTGGGTAAATCCTCCCCAAATCCCACCAGTATTCACAGTGGCCATGTTGGGTCTGTGTGCCAAGTTTATTTATTATTTATTTACTATATTTGTATACCACCTTTCTCAGCCCACGGGTGACTCAAGTTTTGTCCAGATCCGTCATCAGCTAGGTTCAGAGCTCTTTGGAAGTGGGTGAACTACAACTCCCATATGCCAAGGTCAATCATGCCCAAACTCCACCTGTATTCACCATTGGGCATGTGTGGCAAGTTTACTAGTTCCATCACCAGTTTGGTACAGAGTGCTCTCTGACTGTTGGTGTACTACAACTCCCAGCATTCAAAAACATCCCCCCTCCCCCCAACACCACCAATATTCAATGTTGGCCATATAGATAGTGTGCCAAGCTTGGTGCAGATCCATTGTGGGCTGGGTTCAGAATGCTCTTTGATTGTAGGTGAACAATAAGTCCAGCAACTACAAATCCCAAATGCCAAAGTCTATTTTCCCCAAACTCCACCAGTGTTCACATTTGGGCATATATGGTATTCGTGCCAAGTTTGGTCCAGATCTATCATTGTTTGAGTCCACAGTGCTCTCTTAATGTAGGTGAACTACAACTCCAACACTCAAGGTCAATGCCCACAAAACCCTTCCTGTATTTTCTGTTGATCATGGGAGTTCTGTGTGCCATGTTTGCTTCAGTTCCATCGTTGGTGGAGTTCAGAATGATCTTCGATTCTAGGTGAACTATAAATCCCAGAAACTACAACTCCCAAACTCTAAATCCCAGCAACTACAACTCCCCCCACCCCCACCAGTATTCAAATTTCAGCGTATTGGGTGTTTGTGCCAAATTTGGTCCAGTGAATGAAAATGCATCCTGCATATCAGATAGTTACATTACGATTCATAACAGCAACAAAATTACAGTTCTGAAATAGAACAGCAAAAATAATTTTGTGATTGGGGGTCACCATAACATGAAGAACTGTATTAAGGGGTTACGGCATTAGGAAGGTTGAGAACCACTGGTTTAGGGCTTTATAGGCTAAAGCCTACACTTTGAATTGTGCTTGGTAGCAGACTGGCAGCCAGTGGAGTTGATGTAACAGGCGGGTTGTGTGTTCCCTGTACGCTGCTCCAGTGGGGAATTTGCCCATTGGACCACTTTAATCTTTCAAACAGTCTTCTGAACAGTCTTCAAAGGCAACCCCACATAGAGCATATTGCAGTAGTCTATTCAGCTGTACCTCTCCTGCTCTCCGGGTAACAAGCTCAGATTAAAATGTTTTAAGTCATATGCTGGGTTTGAAAGGAGTTTAAGAGCAGGATTAAAATAGACTAAATAAACTATATAACGATTATAATTGCATGCGACATTAGAGGCCCTGGCAGATTGAGAGGCAAGCGCTTTAAATAAATAAATAAACACACTTGCAGTTTTGCTAGAGCCCTGGTGCCTTGTTTTTAAACAGGAATGTTCTTTAGAAACTGTTTCTCCAAGGTACTCCTCCCTGTTAAGAGCTGATGTTGGCCTGCCGAGCGTATCATTTACAGCTCTGTAAGGAAATGCAAAGTGAAAGCAGCAACTGTGATCTTTGTAAGTCAGACATGGCTGCTACTCCAAGGTCCCTTTCAGGATCTTTGTAAAGAAGCCACTTGTCCTGTTTGCCTGGATTATTTCAGGAATCCTGTAACCTTAGACTGTGGGCACAACTTCTGCAGAGACTGCCTGACTCAGTTCTGGGAGAAGTCAGGCAACCCAGAGATCTCCTGCCCTCAGTGCCGAGAAATCATTTCACAAAAGAACCTCAGGACAAATCAGCAGCTAGCCAACTTTGTAGAAATAACAAAGAAATACAGTACTCAGGGGTCCAAGAAGGCAAAAGGCAAGGAGAGAGTCTGTGAGAAACACCAGGAGACTCTGAATCTTTTCTGTAAAGATGACGAAACCCTCATCTGTGAGAGGTGTGACAAGGAGCACACTGATCACAGAAAGATTCCTCTGGGGACAGCTGCTCAAGACTACAAGGTAAGGTGGAGTTTGATGAGGGAAGGAAATGCCTGTGAAAGTTTCCTGGGGACTTCAGTGAAGATGCACTTCCATTAGAAATTCTTATCCTGAAAGCACACAATAACAACAACAAGCCTATCTCATCAGCCAAAAGTAGGCCCACACTTCCCAATGAAATACTAATAAGTTTAGATTTCATAGAATCATAGAATCAAAGAGTTGGAAGAGACCTCATGGGGCATCCAGTCCAACCCCCTGCCAAGAAGCAGGAATATTGCATTCAAATCACCCCTGACAGATGGCCATCCAGCCTCTGTTTAAAAGCTTCCAAAGAAGGAGCCTCCACCACACTCCGGGGCAGAGAGTTCCACTGCTGAACGGCTCTCACAGTCAGGAAGTTCTTCCTCATGTTCAGATGGAATCTCCTCTCTTGTAGTTTGAAGCCATTGTTCCGCGTCCTGTTCTCCAAGGAAGCAGAAAACAAGCTTGCTCCCTCCTCCCTGTGGCTTCCTCTCACATATTTATACATGGCTATCATATCTCCTCTCAGCCTTCTCTTCTTCAGGCTAAACATGCCCAGTTCCCTAAGCCGCTCCTCATAGGGCTTGTTCTCCAGACCCTTGATCATTTTTGTCGCCCTCCTCTGGACACATTCCAGCTTGTCAATATCTCTCTTGAATTGTGGTGCCCAGAATTGGACACAATATTCCAGGTGTGGTCTAACCAAAGCGGAATAGAGGGGTAGCATTACTTCCTTAGATCTAGACACTATGCTCCTATTGAGATTTGTTAAAAATGTTCTTCATTTTAATTATTGTATTGTTTTTAAGTGTCTTTTGCACTATAAATAAGATATGTGCAGTGTGCATAAGAATTCATTCATGCTTTTTTTTCCCCTTCAAATTATAATCCGGCCCTCCAACAGTATAATTTTTTTCAAATTATAATCCGGCCCTCTGTTTAAAAAGTTTGAGGACCCCTGCTCCAGAGCATCAGAAAACAAATCTTCTCTCTCCTCAATGTAACATTCTTTCAAATATTTAAGTGTGGCTTTTGCATTCCTTTTGAATGTTCTCTTCTCTGAGCTAAACATAACCAAGATTTGAATAAATGGCAAGCATGTGAAGGGAGAAAGCCAAAAAAGCCAAAGTGAAATGTGAGCTATACAAATTACAAATAATAAAAGAGGGTTTTTTAAAAAGTTATATTTATAATAAAAGGGAAGAAGAAATAAATGGTAGGGTCATGGCACAGAATGCTCTTTGATCTGATGGAGAAATGCTAATGATGACAGAGAAAAGGCAAAACTCCTCAACATCTTCCTTGCTTCGGTCATCCCCAAAGGGTTAACAGTGCTCAACTTGGGGATAAGGGAGTAGAGGGGAATGCAGAATAAAAAGTACAGGAATACCTGGCTAATCTAAATGAATTCAAGCAATGCCTTCCTTTGACAACTCCATGATCTTCTGGTAAACAAAGTAGTCAGATGTGGGCTAGCCAATACTACTGTTAGGTGGATCTGTAATTGGTTAAATGAATGAACCAGGAGGGTGCTCACCAATGCTTCCTCTTCATCCTGGAAAGAAGTGACAAGTGGAGTGTGGCAGTCTTCTGTCCTGGGCCAGATCCTGTTCAATGTCTTTATTAATGACTTAGATGAAGAGGCATGATCATCAAGTTTGCAGATGACACCAAATTGGGAGGGAGAGCCAATACTCCAGAAGAGCAAAATTCAAAACAATCGTAACAGATTAGAAAATGAAGTTCATCAGGGACAAATGCAAGATACTCCACTTAGACAGAAAAAAATGAATTGCAAAGACACAGAATGGGGGACGATGCCTGGCTGAAGTGCAGTACATGTGAAAAAGATCTTGGAGTCCTCGTGGACAACAAGGTGAACATGAACCAACAATGCCATTCAGAAATTTTTTCATTTTCTTTTTAATCTGTGTGTTTGTTTTGCTCTGTTAGAATTGTAATACAATGGTTGCTGATGACACAATAAATAAATAAATAACCAACAATGCCATTCAGTGGCGGCAAAAGAAAATGGGATTTTAGTCTGCATAAATAGGAGCCTAGTGTCTAGATCCAGGGAAGTCATGCTACCCCTCTATTCTGCCTTGGTTAGACCACACCTGGAATCACATTGTGGACACCACAATTGAAGAGGATGGGAACTAAAATGAGCAAGGGTCTGGAAAACAAGCCCTATGAGGAGAAGCTTAAAGAGCTACACATGTTTAGTGTACAGCAGAGAAGGCTAAGAGGAGACATGATGAGGGCCATGTATAAATATGTGAGGGGAAGTCATAGGGAGGAGGGAGAAAGCTTGTTTTCTGCTGCCTTGGAGAATGGGACGTGGAGCAATGGCTTCAAACTACAAGAAAGGAGATTCCATCTGAACATTAGGAAGAGCTTCCTGACTGTGAGAGCTGCTCAGCAGTGAAACTCTCTGACCCAGAATGTAGTAGAGGCTCCTTCTTTGGGGGCTTTTAAACAGAGGCTGGATGGCCATCTGTCAGGGGTGCTTTGAATGCGATTTTCCTGCTTCTTGGCAGGGGGTTGGACTGGATGGCCCATGAGGTTTCTTCCAACACTATGATTCTATTATTCTAAGTCTCCAAGGCCAGATAAATTGCATCCAAAGACATTAAAAGAAGTGGCAGAAGTAATTTTGGAACCACATTGAGAATTCCTAGAGAGAACAGGTCAAGTACCATTGGACTGGAGGAGCGAAATGTTGTGCCCATCTTCTAAAATGTGTTTCCCAATGGCTCCTCTTTCTTCTAGAGAGAAGGAACTAGTGGGAGTTCGATGGGGCTCAGTCTTGGGCCAGTGCTATTCAACACCTTTATCAATGACGGATAAATCTAGAAATAGTTTTCTAAGATCTACAGAGACACTTGCTGGAACACCTCAGCAAGCGAGAGTCCAAAAGTGACAGGCTCAAACCCAGCACCTCAACCAATGGCTGATACCAAATGAGAGACTCCCTCCTGGGCACACAGAAGACTGGGCGACTTGGAAGGCACTGAACAGACTGCGCTCTGGCACCACGAGATGCAGAGCCAACCTTCAGAAATGGGGCTACAAAGTGGAATCCTCGACATGCGAGTGTGGAGAAGAGCAAACCACTGACCACCTGCTGCAATGCAACCTGAGCCCTGCTACATGCACAATGGAGGACCTTCTTGCAGCAACACCGGAAGCACTCCAAGTGGCCAGATACTGGTCAAAGGACATTTAACCAACTACCAAACTCACAAGTTTTGTATTTGTCTGTTTGTTTGTTTGCTTTGTTCTGTTAGAAATGTAATATAATGGACTGGTTGCTCTGACACGACAAATAAATAAATAAATGATGGATGACAGAACAGAAGGCATGCTCATCAAATATGCAGATGATACCCCTGACGACAGAGTCAGAATCCAAAGTAACTTTTAACAGATTAGGGAGGTGGGCCAAAACTAAGAAAATGAATTTCAACACAGAGAAATATACAGCATTGCACTTGGGTGAGGGTGTGGGTGTGGGGGGGGGGGGGGGGGGGGGAGAGCTGTCACTCTTACCTTCCAATGAAAACTGAATATTTGTTTCTCTGCAGCTTTTGATGGGTGTTCGTCAGGATGATCTGGTGAAGGTGAGAGAAAAGATTCTGGAATATAAAGCAGAGTCAGAAAAGGAAGCCCAAGACCTGTTTGTAAGTATAGGAGTAAATGTGATTATGAAAGGAACACAACTTAAAACAATGTGTAAAAATATGTTCGAAAATGCAGCTTCATCATATAAATCTTTGGATGGCATGAAGACTGATCGTGGATCCCACACTGTGACCTTGAGTGAGTTGCCATTTGTTCGCCACTGTTCAACGAAGAAAAAGTTGTGGGCCTGAAAATAGTTGTTCTTTTATGATTTTGGGGTGCTGAAAACGAAAATGACATTTAAAATGTATATTGGCTCTAGTTTTTATGATATAAGCAATCATGTGATCACGTATGGTTGAAAAAATGCATGTTGCAACTTACACTATGGAAGATTCTAGAAAGTTGCAGGCCTGAAAATAGCTGTTCTTTTATGATTTTGGGGTGTTGAAAATGAAAATGACATTTAAAATGTATATTGGCGCTAGTTTTTATGATATAAGCAATCACGTGATCACTTATGGTTGAAAAAATGCATGTTGCGACTTACACTATGGAAGATTCTAGAATATTCTAGAAATTTTGATGACGCAGTATTAGTGCCGTGTGCAAAAGCCAGAAAGCCCTATATAAGGCCAGACTTTTGAACGGTGAGGGTCAGTCAGTTGAAGACTGAGACAGTATCGTTAAACATCGTTTTACATTGTTTTTTTTACTGTAGTTATGCCTCGCACGTGTGTAAATAAAGCACTATGGGAAAAAGAGATCAAGGCCAATGGACTCCGTCAATGCTGTCAGACTACTGCTGGAGCATTGCAAGAGACAATCCTTTCCTTGAATACAAAAGAAAAGTCAAGAGAAGCAAACAGGATATAAACTAAAGTCACGATTAAAGCGACGTTTAAACTTTCAGACTTTTCAACTGCATTAGGCCTACTAAGATAGTTTCTTGCTGCACAAACATAAACAATAGACTAATTAAATAAATATTTCTCATGTATAAACTATTGGCAATATAATTTGACTAAAATTTAGTAAATATTCACGGTTTGTATACATGCAGTAAGGTTAGGCACATTATCATAATATTAACAAATTACCTGTTGTGGAGAAAATTGAAATAGCTGTTGCATAAAAACCAGAGCCAATTAACACATTTAATTATTATATTTGAATTCAGCATGTTAAATTTATTAAAGGAGCCCCCGGTGGCGCAGAGGGTTAAAGCCCCGTGCCGACAGGACTGAAGACCGACAGGTCGCAGGTTCGAATCCGGGGAGAGGCGGATGAGCTCCCTCTATCAGCTCCAGCTCCTCATGCGGGGACATGAGAGAAGCCTCCCACAAGGATGATAAATCATCAAAAAATCATCCAGGAGTCCCCTGGGCAACGCCCTTGCAGACGGCCAATTCTCTCACAACAGGAGCGGTCGCTCCTGACACAACAAAAAATTTTTTTATTAAGAAACGGCACATTTCGTTTCTGCAACTGAGAAAAACTGAAAATTTGTAGAACAGTGCTCTTAGCCTCAGAGGGAGGCAAAGCCACTCACCCTCAGAATGCATCTCATCAAGAAACCCCCTGACAGATTCACCTTAGGGCCACCATAAGAGGGAACAGACTTGAAAGCAACAACAACAAGAAGAGGAAGTTTCTCCTGATTGTTTGTCATAAAGCCTCTGTTGAAATTCCAGAAGCCCTCTCTATTTTTCACTTCAGCAACTGTATCTTAATGTGATACTTGTTTACCTGCTTTTCTCTCTGCTCACTGTAGAAGCAGACAAAAACAAAAATGGAAACAACCTTACAAGAAATCAGAGAAATGCAGCAGTTTCTGGCTAAACAGGAGAAACATTTCCAGGCCCAGATGGAGGAGTTGGAGAAGCAGATTGCAAGGAAAAGAGATGAACACTTGATCTTACTTACCCGGGAACTTTCCTCTCTGGAAAGTCTCATCCAGGAGACAAAAGAGAAATGTCAGCAGCCACCAGCAGAACTGCTGCAGGTAAGACTGGACAAAAGAAACTAATTTCTGGACAAGGGAAAGCTAGATACAAAACTGTAATATTTTGGAAATCGTTTTTCTGGCATGGACAAAATCCATTACAAAAATCTGCTCTTTGGCTATTATTGAATCAATAAGGCATTGTTTTGGTTAAGCACAGCTGCCTGCATTTTGAATCTGCTCTGATGTTGTTCTAGACTCTAGGACAGGGGTCCTCAAACTAAGGCCCGAGGGCCGGATACGGCCTCCAAGGTCATTTACCTGGCCCTCGCTCAGGGTCAACCTAAGTCTGAAACGACTTGAAAGCACACAACAACAACAACAACAACAACGACAACAACAATCCTATCTTGTCAGCCAAAAGCAGGCCCACACTTCCCATTTAAATACTAATAAGTTTATATTTATTAAAATTGTTCTTCATTTTAATTATTGTATTGTTTTAAGTGTTTTTTGCACTACAAATAAGATATGTGCAGTGCGCATAGGAATTCATTCATGTTTTTTTCAAATTGTAATCCAGTCCTCCAACAGTTTGAGGGACTGTGACCTGGCCCTCTGATTAAAAACTTTGAGGACCCCTGCTCTAGAGGGTGACCTGGGCCCATTTACACAACACATATATACAGCACTGTATTTCATTTAACTGCCATGGCAAGATCCTATTGAATCCTACATTTCCAATTTAGCATGGGAGATGTAGAAGTCTCAGCCAGAGCACTCCGGTGCTTTTTTGAACGACACATCCTAGGGTTCCATAGCAATCAAAGTGAAATAACTATTAGATTTGTCTAGCCTGAAGAGGGCCCTCTAAGTCTACAACTCCACCACTGGTACAGAAGGAGTGAAAGGACCCAGCCTGATGTACTGAGAGACTATTCTATATATAGGAGCTCCCAAGATACACTGGGTGTTTGCATGAACCCTTAACCTCCTCAGAAATGTTTGGGATTCCGATTCATTTGTATTTATAGAGAATTACATGGATAAGTTAATTGAAATCAAAGCCCTTATTTAGTATTTTCATAGAACACAAACTTGTTAATAGCTGTTTCCTGTTCGTCAGCCCTGCATGTCCTGAATTTCGATTTTTCTTTTTGCTCTTTTGAGGCACTCAGGAAGGAGACTGAGGAGGGCTTGGCAGAAAGGAATTCAAATCTGAGAGTGTCTATCTGTAGGCAAGAAATTGAGATGACAGCCAATTCAAAAGGAGAACGCACCAGGGAACTCTTAACTGTCCCTTTCTCCCCTGTTACCCTCAAGGGCACATAATCTTTGCATAAGGATAGTTAAACTATTCCCAGTTTTGAAGTTGCAGAAGTGTCCTTTTGGAGGGACAGACTGCATTCTCATTCAGCGAAGAATCAGATATGTGAGCATTGACATCCCTCTTCTTTTGTTCTTCTCCCCTCTAGGATGTGAGGAATCTCTTGCAGAGGTAAGTGGGTCCCAAGCCTTTCCATTAGACATACCTAGCAGGCAGATACTGTGACCCTTTGATGCTCTGTGGAAGAAAATGAAGGACTCTAACAGGTCACAGATAAAATATTGCCTTCGTTGTGACATTATGGTACTCATCCCATAGTACCACTGCCATAGTGAGATTCTACTTATTGTTTGTTGGATTTGTTTACTCAGCAGTATTTATCCTGAAATGGCAAGCTCTCTCTGTACCTTTTTAAAAAGTGATTTTCAGGACTCTCTCTCTCTCTCTCTCTCTCTCACCCTTGCTAATCTATGTTATCAATATTTGGTAGGACAGTAGCCAATTTGGCAATAGGAACAACAACAAAAATAGGTTGGATGGCACGTGGACTCTGGCTGAGATCCTAATATCTTCCACTGCAACATTTCTACTGGACCAATCAGGATACTTGAGCTCTGAAAGGATGACAACAGTGGTTCCCTTTCCCAGAAAGACAGAAACCGGTTTAAAGAAATTTAGCATCTAATGAAGGAATGGCAGCGGTTGTGGTGGAAGAGAGCCTGTCACACAATGAGGACTAAAGTAACTATGGAAAGTGTCTCCCATGCTAAAACAACAAAACAAACAGATAACAGCATAAAATAAATGTAAGACATTATGAAATAAGAATACAGCACTGTCTAGCTGCTAAACTTGCTAACCGAAAGGTTGCAGGTTCAAATCTGGGGAGTGGCGTGAGCTCCCGCTGTTAGCTTCAGCTTCTGCCAACCTAGCAGTTTGAAAACATCCAAATGTTAGTAGAACAATAGGTATCGGTCCAGTGGGAAGGTAACAGCGCTCCATGCAGTCATGCCAGCCACATGACCTTGAAGGTGTCTACAGACAACGCCAGCTCTGCAGCTTAGAAATGGAGATGAGCACCAACCCCCAGAGTCGGACACGACTGGACTTAATGTCAGGGGAAAACCGTTACTTTTACCTACCGCACTATTGCAGTCAGGGACTTGGTGATCTTAAATGGCATGCAAGAACATCACAATCAAAAACATTTCTTGAAAGTTCTTATTAGATTAATAACTTCTGGAGTAAATTGAAAGACTTTCCAAGACAAAGGAAATCCATTCACATAATTATAAAATCATAGAGTCATAGAGTTGGAAGAGACCTCATGGGCCATCCAGTCCAACCCCCTGCCAAGAAGCAGGAAAATTGCATTCAAAGCACCCTGACAGATGGCCATCCAGCCTCTGTTTACATTTTTCCAAAGGAGGAACCTCTACCACACTTCGTGGCAGAAAGTTCCACTGCTGAACAGCTCTCACAGTCAGGAAGTTCTTCCTCATATCCAGGTGGAATCTCCTTTCTTGTAGTTTGAAGCCATTGCTCCGCGTCCTAGTCTCCAGGGCAGCAGAAAACAAGTTTGCAGTGTGATTCCATGTGTGGTCTGACCAAGGTGGAATAGAGGGGTAGCATTACTTCCCTGGATCTAGACACTAGACTCCTATTGATGCAGGCCAAAATCCCATTGGCTTTTTTTGCCACCGCATCACATTGTTGGCTCATGTTTAACTTGTTGTCCACGAGGACTCCAAGACCTTTTTCACACGTACTGTGCTCAAGCCAGCCATCGTCCCCCATTTTGTATCTTTGCATTTCATTTTTTCTGACTTAGTGGAGTATCTTGCATTTGTCACTGTTGTTAGTTTTGGCCCATCTCTCTAATCTGTTAAGATCGTTCAGAATTCTGCTCCTGTCTTCTGGAGTATTGGCTAATATGGCTATCCCTCCCAATTTGGTGTCATCTGCAAACTTGATGATCATGCCTTCTAACCCTTCGTCTAAGTCATTAATAAAGATGTTGAACAGGACTGGGCCCAGGACGGAACCCAGCGGCACTCCGCTCATCACTTCTTTCCAGGATGAAGAGGCAGCATTAGAGAGAATCGCCCTCTGGGTTCGTCTGCTTAACCAATTACAGATCCACCTCACCGTAGTTTTGCCTAGCCCACATTGGATTAGTTTGTTTGCCAGAAGGTCATGGGGACCTTCTTGAAGGCCTTACTGAAATCCTGGTATGCTACATCCACGGCATTCCCCACATCTACCCAGCTTGTAACTCTATCAAAAAAAGAGATCAGATTAGTCTGGCATGACTTGTTTTTGATAAATCCATGTTGACTATTAGCGATGACCTCATTTGTTTCTAGGTGTTTGCAGACCACTTCCTTAACAATCTTTTCCAGAATCTTGCCTGGTATTGACGTGCAGCTGACCGGATAGTAATTGTTTGGGTCATCCTTTTTTCCCTTCTTGAAGATTGGGACCACATTGGCCCTCCTCCAGTCTGCTGGAACTTCTCCCGTTCTCCAAGAACTCCAAGAACCCTCATTTCTTATCTTATTGTTTTCTTGCTTTAAATATTCTGTTATCAAAATCCCATGTTCCTATAATGGGTGATTAGTTTCTGGAGATTGATTCCTGGAGAAAGTACAAGGTGTTGGTTTTAACCTTTAAAGCCCAACATGGTTTGGGTCCAGGGAACCTACGGGATTGCCTTTATTATATAATTATTCTAATAAAAAGAATAGCTAGGCTCAAAGAGGCTGTTGTAGAGCTCATGTGGCCTCACATTAGGGCAGTGATTTTGCCTCTAAGATAAGACCTCTTCTACACTGCCATATAATCCAGATTACCAAAGCAGATAATCCAAATAATCTGCTTTGAACTGGATTATGAGTGTACACTGCCATATAATCCAGTTCAAAACAGATAATCTGGATTTTATATGACAGTGTAGAAGGGACCTAAGAAGTCCCTTTCCATAATTCTTGCACATAGCAGGTGATGGAGTGGAAGTATGAAAATTCCACACATAATGGTATTACAGAAAATATCAGGTTTCACTAGCCATTACTGGATTGGTAACAGAATATAGACTAGCTGTTCAGAGTGGTGAGTTAACATCCCTTCCTTTCAGGTGTGAAGCAAGAAAGGAGTTCAAGAAACCTGATGTTTTTCCTCTTGAGTTGAAGTGGAAGATCTTGGACTATGGAGATATAGCTCTGCTTCTGGAAGTTATCATGAAACAAGTCAGAGGTAAAGAAAATGCCTGCAAGAATAAGGAACCTGTGTCATTTAAATGTTATTTGAAGAAATACTTTCATTTCTCTCTGCTCTCCATCCCTCACAGTCCTTCTTTCTTCCTTGCTTTTTTTTCTTTGAGTGCTTCTTAGAATAAATGACCAAATATTTACTCAGTAATCTCAGTGATTTTTACAACTCTTTTATTTTCAAAATCCAGGAGCAGCCTGATCGCTAGGACTGCTGAAAGAATTCACATTAGAATTCACCTAAACAAATCTGCATACTTGCAAGGATACAGCAGTTCAGAGATTTCAGTTAAAACATGTAGATAACTATTATGTTGTTATACTTATGCATTCTTTTTGGACACAGGATTTGTAACACCTGACAATGCGACATATTACCTTTCTCCCTTTTCCTTCCACAGATGAGTTAAAATCTGGATTTACACTACAGAAAGGTAAGATTTGGAAACACAAATTCTCAAAAAGGCTTCTCAGAGAGTTGCTTGTTGGTTGTTCACTAGAGGTCCCAGTTCTGCTTGCATTTTCATTTAGAGTTCAGAAAACAAACTATTTCCATCAGTGGAGGCATAATGATGGGATTGCACTTTGACATTGCCAATACCCAAGGTTTCATGGATTCCCTGTATTTATTACTAAACTAGTTTGGGGACCCGGCAATGCCCGGGTTTAGTAATACATAATGCTATTTATTAGGAAAAAAATCTTCCTTTTTTAAATGAATGCTCCCATTAGAAAATGCATAAGGATGTGGGTGAACTACAATTCCCAGAATCATGGGTCAAGCCTTCCAAAACCCTGCCATTATTCAAAGTTGGCCATGTTGGGTCTGTGTGCCAAGTTTGGTCCAGATCCGATATCAGCTGGGTTCAGTGCTCTCTGGATAAGGGTTAATTACAACTCCCAGATTCCCAGGGCAATCACCCACAAACTCTGCCAGTATTCACAGTTGGCCATGTTGGTTCCGTGTGACAAACTTGTCCCAGATCCATCGTTTGCTGGGTTCACTGTTTTCTGGATAAGGATAAACTACAACTCCAAGATTCTCAAGGCAATCACCCCAAACCCAGCCAGTATTCACAGTTGCCCATGTTGGGTCTGTGGTCTAGATACATCGTTGGTTGGGTTCACAGTGCTCTCTAGATGTAGGTGAACTACAACTCCTATACTGCTAGAGAACCTGCATGGGATGATGCATGGAAGCCTAAATACCCCCAAAGGCATCACATTCCATTTGACATTAGAAGCTAAGCAAGGCCATCCCTGATTAATACTTGAATGGAAAGCCACCAATGAATCCTATGAGAAGGAACTGGTGAGACTACCTGTAACAGAGCAAGGGCTAAAGAGGGCCCTGGCCTTAGGCAAAAAAAAAACCTATCTGCTCCTAGGATGTTGTGGGTTTTTCAGGCTGTATGGGCATGTTCCAGCAGCATTCTCTCCTGATGTTTCACCTGCATCTGTGGCTGGCATCTTCAGAGGTTCTCTTGACAGTGAGGAAAGTGGAGTGTATATATGCCTGTGGAATGTCCAGGGTGGGAGAAAGAACCTTGTCTGTTTAAAGCAAGTGAAAATGTTCCTGTTAGCAAGCTTGAATAGCAGTGAGTAGCCATGAAGTTTGCAAAGTCAATAAGTGAAGTAGCCTGGGCTCTGTTGCCTGGAGGCATCCTCTGTTTGGGAGGTGTTAAGTGGCACTTGATTGTTTACTTGGAAGCAGGAGAACTCCACACAGCAAACACTCAACTCCCAGTTAACACTTCCCAAACAGATAGCTGATCTGTGTATACATTTCCCAGAAATGTCTGCCTGTTGAAAATACTTTACATCCTAGGATAGAAGCACACTCGTCTAACCTCTCCAAATTGTCAGGAAGGTCTTGATATGTGGAGTGTGTCTATGTGCATGTGTGTGTATATATATTCCACAGATTATATATACACTCCACTTGCTTCACTGCCAACAGAAACTCCTGATGATGCCAGCCACGGATGCAGGTAAAATGCCAGGAGAGAATGCTACTGGAACATGGCCATATAGCACGAAAGACTCACAGCAACCCACTAATTCCAGCCATGAAAGCCCTTGACAACACATATCTGCTCCTACATAAAAGAGTTCCTGTGGGAGACTGGAAGAGCACCAGCCATTTGATAACAAACAGCTGGGTAATTGAGAGGATTGTGGGATCTTTAAACATTGTTCATGTTTCATTAACTTGGAGCCCTGAACCAACCCATTCTATATGCACTAGCCCACTTCCCTATAGCCCAGATTCCCCCCTCAAGCCTATAGACAATGTTGCCCTTTCCATAGATTTTCTGGCAACCTTAAATGTTAAAGGTTTCTAGACTAGTGGTACCTCAATGAACTATATCACAGTCAAATAGTTTACAAGCTGAGAATGGATGAGAAGAAGAAAAAGGCAAGAAAGAAGGGAAACTGGGCATGATGCAAGCCCATGGTGCCCGTCTGGATGGAGGAAGGTGATGCCATAGCTCTTGCCCAATGGATCCAGCAGGAGTGTTCTCACAGGGGATTGCCAGTCTACACTATGGACCCATTCACACTGCACAATTATAGTGCTATGGTTCTGCTTTTACTGCTATGGCAACATTCTGCAGAATTCTGGGATTTGCTGTTGAGATAGAGGTATTCTGAAGTATCAGTCAGAGAGCCTCCACAAACTGCATATATGGTATAAGCAAATTTGGGAGCAAAGCAGGATTTAAATCAAAGAAAATTAACTGCAATGCATGGAAATCCTGTTGACTTGAGACTGACTGAGACTAATGGATGTGTCTAGCATGTGTTAATAATTCACCTAGATGGTGATTCTTTTTTTATCTTTTCCTCCTCTCCCCATTTTCAACAGCAACTGTAACTTTGGATCCGGACACAGCTCATGACCACCTTATCCTGTCTGAGGATCGTAAAAGTGTAACATATGGAGACGAATCTCAAAACTTGCCGGACAAACCGAAGAGGTTCAAGAAAACTTTTTCTGTCCTGGGATGTGATGGATTTACATCAGGCAGACATTTCTGGGAAATCTGTGTGGGAGAAGAGGGCCAGTGGCTGGTAGGAGTTGCCAGAAAGTCTATAGAGAGAAAGGGCGACATTGTCTTTGGGCCTAAGGGGGGAATCTGGGCTATAGGGAAGTGGGATGGCGCATATAAGGTTACTAACGATCCTGAGTTCACACCTCTGTCTCTGAACAGTGAGCTCAAAAGGGTTCGAGTGTCTGTGAACTATATTGGGGGCCAGGTGGCCTTTTACGATGCTGATACAGGAGTCCATCTCTATTCATTCTCTGGGGCTCCATTCATAGGAAAGATACTTCTTCCTTATTTTAATGTGAATAAAAAAGGGCATCTGAGAATTCCTCCTTAAGGCAGCAAAACAAGTTGACCACATGCACCCTACATCCTGCAAGATTAAGACTTTGGATTTATCTCCTTTAAAGGGCAGAGATAGTGCTTTAGTGTAGTGGTTCCCAAATTGTTCTGTGAAACCCTAGGATTCGACAAAAGCATAGTAGGGCGTAAAGCCCAACTTCAGAACAATTTAATTACAAATATTAAACAAGTTTAATATATCAGTTCTTTTTATTTATTTATTATTTATTTAGAGGTTTTCTATACCGGCCTTCTCAACCTCGACGAGGGACTCAGGTCGGTTTACAGCATATATAAAATACAATAATATAAAAGAGCAACAAGTACAAATCATTACATATCAAAATAACACAACACAGTATAATAAAAACATCCTCATTACATCATTACAGTTTCCTACACCAAATCGTCAATCAAGTCAAATCATAGTCATACTCATAGTCACAGTTCATCATAATTCATCACCGGGGAAGGTTCTAGGTTCAGTCCCCGAATGCCACCTTCCAGAGCCAGGTTTTTAGTGATTTCCTGAACGTCAGGAGGGAGGGGGCAGATCTAACCTCTAGTGGGAGGGAGTTCCAAAGCCGGGGAGCCACCACCGAGAAGGCCCTGTCTCTCGTCCCCACCAACCGTGATTGTGAGGGTGGTGGGACCGAGAGCAGGGCCCCCCCGGAAGATCTTAGTAGCCTTGATGGTTCATAGGGGAGAATCCGTTCGGACAGGTAAACTGGGCCAGAGCCGTTTAGGGCTTTATAGGTCAAAACCAGCACTTTGAATTGTGCCCGGAAGCTGATCGGCAGCCAGTGGAGCTGGCGTAACAGAGGGGTCGTATGGTCTCTGTACCCCGCCCCTGTTAGCAATCTGGCTGCCGCACGTTGGACTGATTGAAGCTTCCGGGCAGTCTTCAGAGGCAACCCCACGTAGAGAGCGTTGCAGTAGTCTAAACGGGATGTAACCAGAGCGTGGACTACCGTGGCCAAGTTAGACTTCCCAAGGTACGGGCGCAGTTGGCGCACGAGTTTTAAGCTGTGAAAATGCTCCCCTGGTCACCGCCGAAACCTGGGGTTCCAGGCTCAGCGATGAGTCCAGGGTCACTCCCAAACTGCGAACCTGCACCTTCAGGGGGAGTGTAACCCCGTCAAGCACAGGCTGTAACCCTATGCCCTGTTCGGCCTTTCGACTGACCAGGAGTACCTCTGTCTTGTCTGGATTTAGTTTCAATCTGTTGTCCCTCATCCAGTCCGTTACAGCGGCCAAGCACCGGTTCAGGACTTCAACAGCCTCCTTAGTAGCAGGTGGAAAGGAGTGACAGAGTTGGACATCATCTGCGTACAGGTGACACCGTACCCCGAAACTCCGGATGATCTCTCCCAACGGCTTCATGTATATGTTGACCAACATAGGGGACAGTACAGAGCCCTGCGGGACCCCACTGTACAACGGCCGCGGAGTCGAGCAGGTGTCCCCTAATAACACCTTCTGGGAGCGCCCCTCGAGAAAGGACTGGAGCCACTGCAGAGCAGTACCCCCAAGGCCCATTCCCGCGAGACATCCCAGAAGGATACCGTGATCGACGGTATCGAAGGCCGAAGAGAGGTCCAGCAGAACCAACAGGGACACACTCCCCCTGTCTAGTTCCCGGCGCAGATCATCCACTAAGGCGACCAAGGCTGTCTCAGTACCATGCCCCGGCCTAAAACCAGACTGCGCAGGATCTAGATAATCCGTGTCTACCAGGAGTTCCTGGAGTTGCGGCCACCACACGTTCCAGGACTTTGCCCAAATAGGGGAGATTGGAAACTGGCCGATAGTTGACGAATTGAGTGGGGTCCAGTGATGGTTTTTTCAACAGCGGTTTTATAACAGCTTGTTTTAAGCTGGCTGGAATAGTGCCTTCCCGAAGGGAGGCATTAACCACCACCTTCACCCACTCTGCCAAACCCCCTCTGGCTTCCTTTATCAGCCAGGATGGGCAGGGGTCTAGGATGCATGTGGTTGGCCTCGCCTCCCCAAGAATCCTGTCGACATCCTCGAATTGAACAGATTGAAACAAATCCATCAAAATTGGACAAGCAGGTGCTCGTGTTACATCCTCAGAGACTGCCGTTAATATGGTGTCAAAGCCTGAGCGGATCAAAGCGACTTTGTCCGCAAAGTACTGAGCAAATGCTTCACAGCGCACTGCCGAGTGGTCAGGGGACCCACTCGAGGTGGGGTTCAACAACCCTCTGACTACTCGAAACAGCTCTTCCGGACGGTTCTTTGCGGACGCAATATTGGCTGAGTAGAAGGAATTTTGAGCAGCCTCTATTGCCGCGCCATATGCCCTTAGGTAAAGGCATAGGCGTGTTCGGTTTGACTAGTTAGGCTCTTTCCGCCATATGCTCTCTAGCCACCTCTTCATTCGCTTCCTCGCCGCCAACTCCTCGGTGAACCAAGGAGATGGTTTAGCTCGGTTGCTTAGGAGGGGGCGCTCCGGAGCGATCGTGTCTATTGCCCTAGTCAGCTCACCATTCCAATGAGCGACCAGAGCATCGACAGAATCACCTACCAAGGTAGCGGGAAACTCCCCAAGAGCCGTCAGGAGTCCATCTGGATCCATAAGCCTCCTGGGGTGGACCATCCTAATGGATCCACCACCCCTGCGGAGGTTAGGGCTTGCAGAAAGTCTAAACCTGATCAGGTGGTGGTCGGTCCATGGCAGTGGAGCGATGGACAGCTCCTCCACACCGCCACTATCTTCCCAACCCTGACAGAAAACCAAGTCAAGTGTGTGTCCAGCACAGTGGGTAGGGCCAGATACTCGTTGGGACAGCCCCATGTCTGCCATGGTGGCCATGAAGTCCTGAGCCGCTCCTGAAAGAGTGGTCTCTGCATGGACATTGAAGTCCCCCAGCACTATAAGCCGCTGGGACTCCAATGCCAGGCCCAAGACCAACCCTGCTAGCTCAGGTAAGGCATCTGTGGTGCAGCGGGGTGGTCGGTACACGAACAGGATCCCTATCCTGTCCCGGTCTCCTAGCCTCAGGTGGACACATTCGAATAAGGTTGACTGTAGGGTAGGGCACCTGACCAAGGAGATGGCATCTTTATAGACTACTGCAACTCCGCCTCCCCGCCCCCCTGATCTCGGCTGGTGCTGCACAGAGTAACCTGGCGGGCAAAGCTGGGTGAGGTTAACCCCTCCAGCCTCGTCCAGCCAGGTCTCCGTAATGCATGCCAGGTCTGCCTTTTCATCAAGGATTAGATCCCGAATAGTTGACGTTTTTCCATTGACAGACCTTTTGAATCTAATAGTTTCTTATACAAAAAAAAGATTAGTGATTATATTTTAAATGTGTCCTCTTCATCGCCAAACCTAGTACATTACACAAACAGTCAATAGGAATAATGAAAGAAGAAAAAATCTTAATATATTCTGACTTAAAAACAGGAATAGACTTCTAAAGGGGAGTAGGTCTTCTGAAAGGTTCCATGACTGAAAACGTTTGGGAACCACTGCTTTCTTAATAAAATTGTGAGTTCTTCATTCGTTCAGTGAGGTAAATAACAGAATGTTAGAGATGTCAAGACAAGAAGGGTTCCTTTTGTTGATATGTCATGGACTTGTAGTAGATGGTCAAAACTTAGTTTGGATATACAAAAAAATAAAGTTAGATCTTGTAATGGCATCAGACATATATTTATTTATTAATTTATTTATTTATCGAACTTATATGCCGCCACTCCCCTGAAGGGTTCCTTTTGTTGATATGTCATGGACTTGTAGTAGATGGTCAAAACTTAGTTTGGTTATACAAAAAAATAAAGTTAGATCTTGTAATGGCATCAGACATATATTTATTTATTTATTTATTTATTATTCAAACTTATATGCCGCCACTCCCCTGGGGCTCGGAGCGGCTTACAAAAATGGCTAAAATCTAACACAATTTAAAAAAATTTAAAAACAGCAATATCAAAAATCAAAGGCCTGTCGAAACAGGTATGTCTTACATGCCCTGCGGAAAGCTGATAAGTCCCACAAGGCACGGACTTCAGGTGGCAGAGTATTCCAGAGGGATGGTGCCACTGCTGTAAAGGCTCTGCGTCTGGTTGCTGTTAGATACAAGGTCTTGACACTGGGAATTTCCAATAGATCTTGGTCCTCAGAACAGAGGGATCTCTGGGATTGGTAGGGGGTGAGGCGGTCCCTCATATTGCTGGACATTAGTGATAAAACATAGGAAAGTAAATATATGTTAAGTTTTCACTACATGGTAACAGCAGCAATAATATTGTTTGCTCAAATGTGGTAACCGACCGAGGCACTGACAATGGAGGAATGAATTGTTAAGTTTGTAGAGGCAGCTGAAGATTTTTTGAACAACTGGAAACTGTTTATAGTTTGGTTTTTTTAAGTAATAAGAAATCTAACAATGAAATCCATGGCTATGGGTGTTAAGTAATTTTAATAAGATTGTTTATCTTTCTAGATCTATTATATGATTTTTTGTTTTGTTTTCATAGCAATTAGGATGGAGAAGTAAGAGCCCTATTATGTGCTAGTTATTTTTCTTTTTCCCCAGTGTCTCTTTATTTTTTTGAATGCATGCCATTCTGATTGTAAATTACATTGCTTGTGTTAAAATTAAATTAAAGAAAGAAAGAAAACCTACATGGTGTTCTGTTGAATTGTGTATGATGCCGCTGGGAGAATATGGTCACAGCCATCAAACTCATATGCATGGAGTGTCAGACGCGCCATTTTCTCCTTTGTGATAAGGCCCTGGGTTCCACTTCTCTTGGTTATTGTAGTTATTTGGAGTACTGTATCTCCTTTTAGTAGCCCATGAGATATCTACCCCCGGTGGCACAATGAGTTAAACCCTTGTGCTGGCAGGACTGAAGGCCGACAGGTCGTAGGTTCGAATCAGGGGAAAGCACAGATGAGCTCCCTCTGACAGCTCCAGCTCCCCATGCGGGGACATGAAAGAAGCCTCCCACAAGGATGGCAAAACATCAAAACATCTGGCGTCCCCTGGGCAACATCCTTGCAGACAGCCAATTCTCTCACACCAGAAGCGACTTGCAGTTTCTCAAGTCACTTCTGATACACAAAAAAATCTGCATGGTTTGGATCCAGGTTACCCACAGTATCACCTTATCCCATACAATCTGTCCCAAACACTCTGAAGGGCATTGACTCCATCCTGCCAGAACCCTTCTGGTGACCATCACTCAAGAGGACCTTTTCATCGGACGCCCCAAGACTGTGGAATGACCTGCTGGAAGATATTTGACAGGTAGAGCAGCTGTCAGAGTTTAAGACACAATTGAAAACCCATTTCTTCCAGCAGGCCTATCCAGTCAATTTGAAGTTGTGAGTTTTAATCTGGATTTTAACTTGCAGTTTAACTCTTATGTGTCTTGTTTTATATCTTTTAATGTCTTTTAATAGTGTTTTATGTCTTATTTTAATGTTGTTGTATCCTGTCTCAAGCCATAGGGAGAGGTGGCTAATAGTAGTAATAGTAGTAGTAGCAGCAGCAGTAATGCTTGGACAGGCCTTTCTCTTTTCTGGGAAAAACTGACAATAATTTGGGCAGAAATCACGTACCTCAAAGCTGCTAGTCAGGAGCTAAATTACAATGATGGAAGAGAAGTCAAAAGCTTAGGAGATTTATCTTAGGTTGCGGTTCGGTTTTGAAATACCACGAAAATCTGGCAACAATTGGGGATACCTACGTGTCTACAAGAACAGAGAAAACTTCTGAATTATCTGGGGTGTTCTAACTTAACTGAATACAAATTTTGCTTATATAATTTATATAGGATTCACTTTTAAGAGTATCTTTCAGTTGAGGAAAATAACTCAAAATATGAATTTTTGTGACTCAAGTCTTATGCAAGACTGTATGAGATGAGATCATATTACTTAATAATTTATTTAATTAATAAATATTGGTCTTTGGACCATAATAAAAATGTTGTTTGTTAATAAATATTAAATAAAAATCTTTTTATATTCTGAAACAAAAATCCTCAGCTGAACATCTGTAAACATAATTTAGAAATCCAAAAGAAGTGGGGGCAAAGTAAACATGCCCGGCAACACAATACATCTAAACGTTGAATTTATTTTCCGTACTTTGATCATATCATAAGAAGACACGTCTCACTAGAAAAGACAGTAATGCTGGATAATTTATTTTATTTATTTAAAACATTTATATTCTGCCCTTCCCACAGGGCAAAGCACAACATATATACAGCAAACATTCAATGCTGGGACATAAAACCATAAATATATACAAACATTAAAATCACTTATATTGACATTAAAAGTTGCTTAAAAACCATCTCAAGACACCATAAGGATAACACAGAAGACAGTATGAAAAGAGGAAGGCTACAACTATACATATAATAAAAGTCAAAGTTTGTATGCGACGTAGGACAGAGGTAGGTAGGATGTAGGTGGACGTGTTTGTGGCAGCTTTCTGATTGGCTGCCACTGTGGTGCTATTTGCATATGGTCTCTGATTGGCCAACCTCAACAGGACCCCCTGATGGCAAAGACAGTTAATGAGAGAAACGGAGACATGACAGAGGGAAATTTGCATATGGTCTCTGGCCAGACTCAATTCCAAGATTCCGAGAGGACAAAGAGATGAAAGGAAAAGGCCAGATGCTGTGTCAGAAAATTACCAATAAAGACCAAACTTGGCACACAGAGCCCCCATGACCGACTCTACAGCCTACTGCAGTTTGGAGTAGGATGGACCATGGATGATGGGACTTCAAGTACCTTCACTCACTTCCTGAAAACAATGCAGCCGTTATCCAATGACCAATAAAGACTAAACTTGGCATACAAAACCACCATTACCCACTTTCTCTAATAACCCGGGCAGCACCGGGTCCCCAAGCTAGTTACAAATAAAGAGACCCAATCTGAGAAGCAACAGCCTTGAGTTTGCAAGATCAAAGCAGGACTGTCGATGATGGGTGACTTGAAGGTCTTTCATTCATGGGATCTCCATAAATTGAAGTTGACATGATTGGCAGTTAAACACAACAACATACTGCTACGTACACAGTACATTTTTGCTATTTCACATGTTACGGATTCATTATGCAGATACATTTGAGGTTTCAATTTTTTTCCTGTGGTTTTCTATTTATAGGGCTTCTCAATCCAAGCATTGCTTCTCTCACAGAATCATAGAGTTAGAAGACATTACATGGGCCATCCAGTCCAATCGCCTGCCATGCAAGAAAACACAAAGCACCTCCAACACATTCAGCCTCTGTATAAAAGCCTCCAAAGGAGTAGTTTGTGTAAACATACTGGTGGGTTGCCAGGCAAAGCATTTCTTATACTACTGGCATTTGGATGATTTATCTCCTATGTGAGTTTCCTGATGCCTGGAAAGCTGTGAGTTATAAGCAAAATTCTTTCCACACTCTTGGCATTTGTATGGTCTCTCTCCTGTATGAATTCTCTCATGGCTCAAAAGGGCTGAACTGAAGTAAAAGCATTTTTCACACTTGGGGCATTTGAAAGGTTTTTCTCCTGTATGGACCCTCTGGTGCTTCACAAGGTCAGACCTATAAGCAAAACATTTCACACACTCCTGGCACTTGTATAGCTTCTCCCCTGTGTGGACTCTCTGGTGGGTGACCAGCTCTGAATTGCAGGGAAAGCATTTCTCACATTGCTGGCATTTGTAGGGTTTCTCTCCTGTGTGGACTTTCTGGTGTCTGGCAAGTATTGAATTTTGAGCAAAACACCTTCCACAGTCTTGGCATTTGTATGGTTTTTCTCCTGTGTGGACTCTCTGGTGGGTGACAAGTTGGGAACTGCCAGGAAAGCTCTTCCCACACTCCTGGCATTTGTAGGGTTTCTCTCCCGTGTGGATCCGCTGGTGCTTCACAAGGTGTGAATTCTGACCAAAACATTTCCCACACTCTTGGCATTTGTAAGGTTTCTCTCCTGTGTGGACTCTCTCGTGGCTCATAAGGGCTGAAATAAAAGCAACACACTTCCCACATTTCTGGCATTTATAGGGTTTCTCTCCTGTGTGGACTCTCTGGTGTTTCACAAGATCCGACTTGTAAGCAAAGCATTTCTCACACTCCTGGCAGGTATATGGTTTCTCTCCTGTGTGAACTCTCTGGTGAATCGCAAGGTTTGAAATACGAGCAAAACACTTTCCACACTCTTGGCATTTGTGGGGTTTCTCCCCTGTATGGACCGTCTGATGCATCACAAGGTGCGAGCCATGCGCAAAGCATTTCCCACACTCCTGACATCTGTAGGGTTTCTCTCCTGTGTGAACTCTTCTGTGGATCACGAGGCTTGAGATCCGAGCAAAACGTTTCCCACACTCTTGACACTTGTGTGGCTTCTCTCCTGTGTGGATGGTCTGATGCATCACCAGTTGTGAATTGCGGGTAAAACATTTCCCACACTCCTGGCACTTGTGGGGTCTTTGCCCTATGTGGACTTTCTGGTGGCTCCCAAGGTGTGAGTTGTGAGAAAAGCATTTTCCACATTCTTGGCATTTGTATGGTTTCTCTCCTACGTGGACCTGCTGGTGGTATGTAAGCATCATCTTTTGAGCAAATTGTTTCCCACAAATGGCACATGTGTACAGTTTGTCTTTGGCAGAACTTTCCTCTCTTGAATGGCTTTGCTCTTGTCTGAGAAGATCTGGTATCACACTTATCTTTGTTTTGGTCCACGTATCTGCTGGAAAGAAGCATAGAACATATTGAATCCTAAGGTTGAGCAGTAAAAAAGTCTTAGGGAGTAGAAAGGTATTTAAACAAACTATAAAGATCTTGAAAGAAACCTTTTAAAGCAGATATGCAAGATTGAGTGTTTTTCCACTTTTATAGACATTTGGGGAATTTATGCTCTAAGTGAAACCAGACATGTTTCAGTTATATTTTGCGCTTATATTTTGTATTATGACACATTTCCCAGAGGATCTTGCTGATACAGAGGATAAAAAATTGACTATAAAGACATTATAAGACAAAATACTTGCTCTTTTTTTGAAAGTAAGGCAGTACATTTAGAAAAGCAACAGCAGGTGGAATCAACAGACTGGTGTCTTGGGGCAGCCAACTTGGCCACCAACCAGTAAACACTGATATGTAAAATGCACTGTTTTTACACTGCCATATATTTCAGTTTCTCAGTCCAGATTATCTGCTTT